ACGACAACTAAGTAAAAACAATTCTTGCTAACTCAATAAAGTAGCACATATAAAGGTCGTACCCAGTGCACAAGGCTCCCGCTTTACGCAGGGTCTGGGAGAGGTGAATGTCGGCTAGCCTTACCCCCATTTATGAATGTCGGCTAGCACATATGAAATTATTAAATAATATGGAAGCAATTAAACCACTCCATAAAGGGGTTGAGGATCTGGAACTCTGCTATGCCAGTTAAATACACCTCTCGATTCAAGTACCTTATTAATGCCCTTCTTACTAAATGTTCAGATAACTAACACGCAGACCAAATATATATATAAATAACAAGTAGCCAGTATCTTAAATATATACCTTCTGACCAATAAACCTTGTGCTATATGATAAAAGAAGTATCATAAAGAAGTTTATGATTTAATTGAAGCTAACCACTAAGTACTAGCAAACTTACTGAACAGACTCATTGCAAACAATGTTAATGATGACGCAAGTAGATTTTGTCATAACAACTACCTTGAGCACGTTGACTCCATTTGCAGCTGCTTTGTGATTTTCATTTTTAGCTGCATTCAGAGATGCAGTAGTTGAGTCCAGATTCTGTTTCAATGAGCCATTTTCTTTACTCAATCTGGATATTTGATCCTGTCAAACGGGAGGGTTTCCAAAAGTCAAAAGACATGTTGTAATATATTTTATTAAGATGCCACCCCATACAGAATATAAGGTGTACGAATCCAACCACAGGAATACAGAATATAAGGAGCATGGATCCAACTAAAGATACTCCATCAAACAACATAAACAAAAAGGAAGTAATCAATAGTATAATTTCCCTAGAGTCATCGGGTACCTCTTTTTCCTTTAACAGAGCTGCATAGTTTTTTGATAATGCTTTTATTTCTGCCTCAGATTCCTGAAGCCTCTTAATTTCCAATTTGCATTGTTCAATCTAATTAAAGAAGGAAAAAAAAAGTGCAGATTAGAATATCATAACATACTCCATCTGATAAAGCAAACCAAATAACAGCTGCGAAAGATGAGAGACGACATGAGCAGTGACCAGTGAAGGTGATATTAAAACATAGGGCACGACGCCACCAAAAGCTAGCAAAATGTAGACTTTCACACTTTGTCACCACAATTCTGAATCCGGGCTTAGATCAAGTATAATGTGATAGACTCTGCCTATTTCTGCATTTGCACCATCGCACTACAGTTGCTAAAAGTTTAGCAATTTGACCAATAATTGCTTAACCAATAACACTTAATAAGACCTGCTAACAGGAATTATCTCGCTTACTAATTACTAACCATTGATTCCCTTTAAATTCTGTATGCTCTCAACCTAAACCGCAAATTAAGAGGAACCCCGCATTTCAATACGAAAATGAACCACAATTTGCAAATCTACCTCCATTTCGAAGTTTGAATTTGTAAGACACACACCGATGCCAAATGATTCAATGTTTCACTAACATAATAACCAAATTCTCAGCTAAAAAACACATAATCCTAAATCCACACTCATCGAAATCGATCCAAGCATTCATTAACAGCTCTAAAACCCAAATGAACAAATGACCGACACTAAAATAATTCCCTAACCCAAAAAAAATCCCAAATTACCCACGTTTCCAAGAAAAAAAATCACAAACCTCGGGAGTAATAGTAAAATCGACGCCATTGGGGATCGGAGAGCGGGAGGGGGATTTGGAATGGGCGAAGCTGTGGGAATTCCTCCGATCAGATAAGGAATAAGCTTTTTCTCCATTGATGGCGTGGATCTCGTACTCTTCGTCATCGTCGTCGTCGTCGTGGACGTCCTGCGCCATCTTGTTAAGATTCTCCTTCAGGTTCGCAATCGTGCTCCACATCTTTCAAAACCCTCGCAAATACCAGCAAATTCAAATATGCGTGGCTGCTTAATCTGAAGAAATCGGGCGCCAAAATCGTTGGAAAGTCGGAGGTGAAATTTCTTGGACTGGGGATTGAAATTTGGGATATGGGTAGATCTGAGGGGGGAGAGGAAGGAGCGAAGCGAAGAGGTGGAATTTCGTAATTAGATTTCGTTTTTATGGTTAGAGGACACGTTTTGTAACTTATGAAATGTCATAGGTTGGTAACGCTATTTTTTTATTTATAAACAAACGATATTATCCACCCTAAAAATGAGATGATGTGTTTAGCCTCACAATGAACTAGTAATAATGTAGTTCAAATTTACCTTTGCTGATAATCGAACCTAATGGCTCTTATCTACAAGTACAGAGAAATACTACTAGACTATAGTATTAAGTGGCTTATTAGTAACGCCTTTTGAAAATTACTTTTTTGATTAAATTTATTTGTAAAAAGTCTATGCTGCCCTAATGACTTACAATGACCCCAACTACACTTTGGTCTTCGATGTTGAACCACCACCTCTTAGACGATGAAAACAACACAACGACGCTACAATTACACTTTAACGATATTAAAAACGACCACAAACTCATTTATAGAGAACTCCGTTTAACCAAAAAAGACTTGCACTTCAATTTGATTTAAACCAAGATTCTTAGGATTCTAAACCACCAACACAACAAGAACAATATGGCGACGTTACAACAACACTCCAACAATACTCCTTTTATGATTTTGAACCACCACAACCATAACAACAATCTAATGATGCCCTTAGATACTCCAATGGTATATCGCATTTTCTGATTTCGAACCGCCACATCCACAACAATTCATTCAAAGAACCCTCTCCTTCTTCATTCCCCAACCCAATTTCATATTCGAAAAATTGAATAATTAAGCTAAAGCAAGCAAGAAGAATGGATATGAAGCTTACTCAGCTATTTCTATGGTGTTCCAGATGTTCTTCACTGCTTCAAATTTGATTAATCAATGTGGAGTTATCAAAGAATGGATCTGAGAGTGTCGTTGGGACTCACTGAAGTGTTGTTGCGGTTTTTGTGGTTTATGATATATGAATGACAACTTGACCAATAAAATGTCAATGACGAACAAATAGACTTTTCACAGGCAAAGTTGATCTAAACAACAATTTTTAGAAAGTGTGTTTAAAAGTGCAACCAATTGCCATAATTTATTTGAGTTTTGTAGTGTGGGACAGTAGCTAAGCATATCAATAAAGTGATGGATTGTAATTAAGCTCTTAGGTTAGTAGGGCAAGCCCCACCCCTAATGAGCGGAAAACAAATCATCTTGTGAAATTACAAAATGGCACGTACTTAGAGACCAACTCACATGTTTGCCAATTACTCAATAGATAAATACCGACACACCATATGCTAGACGAAATACCTCGCTTAAAAAATAAGAGGTTTTTTTTTTTTCTAATGAGCGGAAAACAAATCATCTTGTGAAATTACAAAATGGCACGTACTTAGAGACCAACTTACATGTTTGCCAATTACTCAATAGATGAATACCGACACACCATATGCTAGACGAAATACCTCACTTAAAAAATAAGAGGTTTTTTTTTATTTTATTTTTTATCATTTTGATCCTTGAGTGCGCTGTTAAAAAAACTTAGAACTTGCGGATCAAGATCCTCTCCTAAGAAAAGGGTGAGGATTCTCCTGACCAAGCCCATCTGGCCGTTGAAATTTTATCCAACGACTACAATTATTATAACTTTTAGAGAGACCCCCTGTTTGTAGGTGTTGGATAAAATTTCAAAAAAAAAAATTCAATGGCCCCAATGTATTTGATCAGGAGGATCCTCACCCTTTGCTCAGGAGAGGATCCTGATCCAAAACTTGCACATTGAGATGTCTTGGAAGTTAGAATATGGCTCACTTGTCCTCCAAACTTAGTTGGCAACAAAAGATTATCTTTTACATGCCATATGATAATCAAACAAATTACTTCAAAGTGAACAAGTAATGATTTTAATCACTTGAATTACAATTCTTTTACTAATTTTTGATCTTTTGATATTCAACAATTGCACCTTATGTAACTTAAACACAAAACCTTCTCCATCATGATTAAAATTTGGCCCTAACCGACATTTATCGTTGGTTCATGTATTATAAAATTACATTATTGTCTATTTAGTTTAAACTTATTTTTTTTTATAAATCAATAAATTGTAGTAATGGTCATTCAACTTTAATCAAATTGGAGCAATGATCATCAACTAAAAATCCATTACCATTGGTCCCCTAATTCATCAAAATGTGTAGCTATTGTCTCTTTCGTCAACTTCGTCAGAATTTTGTTAAAGTAAGTTATGTTGAAATGATCATTGCTACAATTGAGGTCCCTCAACTTATCAAAACGTGTAGCTATGATCCTCTTTGTAAACTTCGTTAGAATTTTGTCAAAATTAGTTATCTTGGAAGGACCATTTATACAATTAGGTTAAAGTTGAGAGACTATTACTTCAATTGAATTAAAATTAAGTAATTATTGCTACAATTTACTCTTTATAAATTAAACGGCCCAAATGCAGTAGGAAGCCCAACCCTACCACTATTTAAACAGCTGTTGTACCAGGTAGACACAATCTCGCCGCGCTCTAGGGTTTTGCAGATCCGCTGCCCTCTTCCCTGCTCGTTTGTTTTTATTTTATTTTATTTTATTAATTAATTGCCTCTTTCATCTGAAATCCGTGCTATTATGCGATGATGAAGAAAACAATAACCGATGAGGAAACTCGTCGATTGCTTCCGCAACATGAATTATCCTTTATGGTTCGTATTCACTGAGCATTCATCAATATTTTCCTCTTTTTATTTATTTATATGTTTTTTTTTTAATTTGAAAAATCTTCTTCTCCACCCGAGGGACCTATGGAGGGAGCGCCATAAAACGATGCGCTTTCGGCCAAGTTTGCCTTCGAACATCGCTCTGAAATCCGATCGCCGAATCTCATGTTTTGTGTTCTGGGTTTCGGTTTTTATTTTTGGATCGATTTTTCGTACATATATAATTTTATTTTTTATTTTTTCATTTTTTCATTTCTAATTGAAATTAGATTTGAAAGCGAAGGTCCCAGCGGAGGGGCAAGCCACTCAGAAATGAGGCCTCTCTAACATTATTCAATAAAAAACCTTCGCAGAGTTACTTGCCAAATCGTACGGCGTCCAGAAATCTTTCACTTCTGAGCGTCTTGAACCCTTGGCTACATTTTTTGTTTTATTTTTAAAAATATTTACTTAATTTAGATATTATTTAACTTTGAAATTCATGTTTGAATTTTGTATGATTTTTTTGGATAAAATACATTTCCAATAAAAAAAAGCTTAAATGTCAAAATGGTCCTGGTATTACCTTCTATGCCTGTGTTTTACTGGATTGGTCAATTTAGTTTTTGTGTTTTCAAGTCGGTCAAATTGCTCTTTGTGTTTACATTAGTTTTCAATGTAGCCATGTGTTTATCTTTTCAAAAAAATGTAGCCATGTGTTTATATTTGTGACAATCCGTTAAAAAACATTAAAGTTGACATGTCCTAAATCTTACGGTACTCAAGGCGTTGTATCTTTTTACTGGATGTACATAAAATTACATTTTTGTCCTCTTATGTGCTTGATGCATGTCAATTCCATCTGTCATTTAACGAAATCTCTAAACATAGAGATCAATTTGGCCAAATTAAAAATATAGGATTAAATTGATCGATAGAGTAAAAACATGGGAAAGGGCTTAGGCTACCTTTATTTAATGAAAAACCACCTTAAACTATTATTTAATAAAAAGAGCTTAAGTTTTAATCATAAGGACACAAAACTTATCTTTCAGGCTCTACAAAAACTAAAACACACGGGCTCAATAAAAAGCCCAAACCGGATAACAATTAATATTCCAAAATTGCCCCTAACGGAACCTAACATAGGCCTGTTAGCCAAACTAACGGTTACAATCCCAAAATCACTCCTCCCTCCAACGCCATTACTATCGGCATACCTACCCTTCAAACCGCACCAAAACATCCAAACCTCAAGTTCTTAAACCAATTTCAACTTCGATTCAAGTTTTCAAACAATAATCTACACATCAAATCCGGAATTCCTCAACCCAAAAACTGCATTTGAAGACGAAAAACTGAAAAATTCGAGATATATATTTGCAGAGTCCAAATTGGAGAAACAAAGGTACGAACCTAGAAATAAGTTATTAAAAATGCTTTGCTGACAATTATCATCAATCCTGGTAGAAAAGACGTGGAGTTGTTCTTGATGGAGAAATAACATATGTTTGTTTTAAGAACGGAAACTATGGTATGGCAACCAGTGGTGGAGCTATGTAGGAGGTGTTAATGTATACTGAAATCCTGATCTGTAGTGAATACTCAAACAAGAAAAGGAGAAGAAAGAAGAGTTCTAGAGAGAGAATGAATGTTTAGAGAAAGAAACTTTTGTATTGATCTGAAATTAAAGATTACAGTAATTCCATATCATCTTATATAGTTTGCACCACTTACATCAGTAACTATATCAGTTAGTTATAACACCTCTAACCAACATAACCACCAATAGTCTATTAGCTAAGCTGATGTGGCATTGCCAGCTGTTACTACTATCAACATCCCTTCTCAATCTAAGCTTGGGGTGCCAAGCTTCAGATTGTAGCAATGTCTGATGAATGCAGGACTGTGAAGACCCTTTGTTAGAACATCGGCAGTTTGCTCATCAGTAGGAACATAGGCCACGGCAAGATCGCCTTTTTGTACCCTCTCCCTTACAAAATGATAATCGGTATCCAAGTGTTTTATTCTGGAGTGAAACACTGGATTCGAACTTAATGCAATAGCTGACATGTTATCACAATTAATAACAGGTGGTTCAAGTAAAACACACTTCAAATCCCTCAAAATGTGTCTAACCCAAGCTATATCAGCAGCGGTATGAGCAAGGGCTTTGTATTCAGCTTATGTAGAACTTCTAGATACTGAAGTTTGTTTCTTTGATTGCCACAAAATAGGATTGTCTCCAAGAAAAACAATATATCCAGTCACTAATCTTCTGGTATTAAGATCCGCAGCCCAATCAGAATCAGAGAAAGCCGTGAGATGCATCTGTGATCGTGAAGAATAGACTATGCCATGTTGCATCGTACCATGAAGGTATCGAGGAATCCGTTTTACAGCACCAAAATGAACTTCAGTTGGTGAATGCATGTGTTGACAAACTGTATTCACAGCAAACGCAATATCCGGTCTAGTAAACGTAAGATACTGCAAGGAACCAACAATGCTTCTGTATGAACTAGGATCTGAAAGTAACTCTCCTTCTGTCACCATCATTTGATTATGTGGTTTACATGGTGTATTGGCAGGCTTGCAAGAATCCATACCTGACTTATGAAGTAAATCCTTTATGTATTTCGAGTGATTTACAAAAATGTCTCCATTTGGTTTATATTGAATCTGTAAACCAAGGAAATATGTCAGCTTCCCCAAATCCTTCAAGTCAAACACAGAGGAGAGTTCTTGAACTACGAGTTGTACTTTAGTCACACATGATCCAGTCAATATTATATCATCAACATAGAGCAATAGTATGATGATATCATTGTTATCAGTTTTGATGAACAAACTGGTATCAAATACTGATGCAGTAAACCCCATTGTCACCAAGTAGCTTGTAAATTTTGAATTCCAAGCCCTTGGGGCTTATTTGAGTCCATATAGTGACTTGAGGAGTTTGCATACATAATCGGGATGACTTGAATCAACAAACCCTTGTGACTGTTTCATATAAACTTCTTCTTGTAACTCACCATGCAGAAATGCATTCTTGACATCAAGTTGTTTCAATTCCCATTTATTCATTGCAGCCAAAGCAAGAATGAGTCTTACAGTTGTATGTCTCACAACTGGACTAAAAGTATCTGAATAATCTACACCATGCTCTTGAGAAAATCCTTGAGCAACTAGTCTTGCTTTATACCTTGATACAGTACCATCAGGATTTCTTTTCACCTTATACACTCATTTGCTTCCTATTATTGATCTGTGATCTGGTGCAGGTACTAAATTCCAAGTACCTTGAATTCGAAGTGAATCATACTCCTCTTGCATTGCTTGTTGCCAATGTGAAATAGATGCTGCTTGTCTAAAGCATGTAAGTTCTAATGAATCTGCAATCTCTGAAATAAAGGAGAAACCTCCCACAAAAGGATCATCATTTGTTATCTGCAAAGTGTTTAACTCTGGAAATGTTGCAGTTAAGGCTGCATAATTTTTCTTTAGGATAGCACCAGACTTCAACCTTGTCACCATTGAATGTTCATTACCATTCTGTGCTTGAATATCATGTGATACAATTGCTTGAGAAATTGGTAACCTTGAATCTGGTGGACTTGAGAAGTGATGGTGAGAAGATGAAACCTGATTATCAGAATGCTGACTGATTGCAGACTCTAAAGATTGAGACACTACCATATCAGAATTTCCTGAAGCTACTGGATCTGAGCCTTGAAAATGTGAAATGACTTCTATAGCTTGTGCAGATCCTCTATCTTGATGCACTGGAGATGGAGTAATCGTATCCCTTGGTAATTGAATCGCAATAGGCCTTGAATTCTGGAAAGATGAAGAACTAGACTGTTGTATCTTTGACACTTGTATATTCCGATAAGGAAATATCTCTTCATCATGTACAACATGTCTAGAAAGAATTAATTTTCCTGAACCAATGTTATAACATACTACTCCCTTATATCTCATCATATATCCCAGAAATACACATTGAGTTGTTCTTGGTTCAAGTTTATTTGCATTATAAGGCCTCATTAATGGATACACTGCAGACCTAAAAATCTTCAGAGTTTGAACATCATGTTCTTGTCCAATTAACACCTGATATGGTGATTTCATATGCAATATTCTACATGGCATTCTGTTTATTAGAAATGCAGCATATGAACAGGCATGAAACCAAAATTGAGCTGGTAACTTTGCTTCTGTCATGAGTGTTATTGCAGTCTCAACCACATGTCTGTGTTTCCTCTCACCAAGTCCATTTTGCTGAGGGGTATAAGGACATGAAATCATGTGTTTTATACCCTTTGTATCCAAAAAATCAACAAACATTCTACTTGTATACTCTCCCCATCCATCAGATTGTAAACACTTAAGTGAAGCATTGAATTGAGTTTGTATAAAAGCACAGAACTTAACAAATATGGAAAACACTTCAGACTTGTTATTCATTGGAAAAATCCACAAAAATCGTGAATATTCATCTACAAAGCTCACATAGTATATATAACCCTGTACAGACACCTTTGGAGATGGCCCCCATACATCAGTGTGAACTTTCTCAAACAAACATGTAGCAGTATTTTGTCTTACTGGAAACGACTGTCTTCTCATTTTACCACTCATACAAGAAGAACATATGGACTCACAACTATCTACTTTGACACTATTATTAAACTTCTTCAGCATTACAGCAAGCACCTCTTCTGACGGATGACCTAACTGCTTATACCACCTCGACACTTGAATCTTCTTTCCAATAAAGCCAGCACAGTGCTCCAACTTTGCAGCAAAAGACTGTGCAAAGACATTGACTGGAATTGAAAACAGCTCCCCATCATCACTTGTCCCTGTGTACAGTATCTTCCTTGTTGCCTTGTCCTGTATGAAGAAGACAACATCATCACATATAAACCAACATCCATTATCTCTGCATAACTTCTTAACAGAAAGTAAATTCACAGTGATTTTAGGTACACAGAGCACATTTCTTAACGTCAAAGATTGTTTAGAAAGAGGAATGCTTGTGGAACCAATATGTGTTACTTTCAATCCTGTACCATTCCCAATTGTAATAGTTCCATCACCAGTATAAGGAATAACATGATTAAGATGATGTAAATTTGCAGTCATGTGATGAGTTGCACCTGAATCCAATATCCAGTTTTCTTCAGCAGTAAAACCAACACCAGATCCTTCAGTTTAAGTGACATTGGCTTGAGCTGTCATAGCTGCAATCGATGGTGGTGGTGGAGGATTTCCCTGATATGCAAAGTTGTTCCTGTGAAAGCATTCAAGAGCTATGTGCCCCCTCTTTCCACATATCTGATAAATTACAGAACCAGAAGACTGTGAACCTCCACTCTCAACTCTATAGTAGCAGTTTGGTGTAGTGTGTCCCCTTCTCAAACATATCTGACATTCAGGTG